GAATAAGTGCATTGTATTCAAATACAGTAATTTAAATACATCAGTTGATAAGTTGTAAATCCCTCGAAAAGATCGAGAATTAGTTAATGTTAAACCAATTGAAATGATTATTTCATTTGAGATTATTCTAAAATGTTCGGAATGCATCCCCGAATTAAGTCACTAAAAAATCTGTTCGGCAGTGAAAAAAAAAAAAACTCACCAAACACTGGTAGCAGTGTTAAGCAGAATAAAAAGTCCTCAATTTAGGAACGTTTCTCATTTTTATGGACTAACATTTTCACAGTTCACCGGTGGATTTTCTCTCGAAACGGAATTCAGGGGACCAGAAATAAATTCGTTGTAGAGAGAATTTCTTCTGTAGTAAACCCCCGCGGGATTGTTTGAGAACGGTATAGGACTAAATGCAATTTTTTGTACGGAGAACATTATTGTAGAGAGAATTTACCTGTGTCATCTAAAGAAAAGGGGGGTTTGCCATTAAGAAAGCAAAAATTCGTGGTAACTGAAATTATTTTTTTAATCTGTACAATATTTTATTTCATGTGAATGTTTTACAGGATAACGCTACTTAAAAAAAATTTAGACTTAGACAACTACACAACGTCCTTCAGGACGCTACTTAAGACTTTAAAAGATACGTATTCATAGTCATATATTTGGGAAAACATAAAAAACGGGGCAACATATTGGGAACAGCTATATTTTTCCCTTCTCCTATTCAAATGCTTTTCTCGGATTTCAGTTTGGCGTTTTCGTCGTTTGCCACCTGCGAGGAATTGCTTGTGCTCGGAAGTCATTCGGCCCCGAGATTGCCCATTTTCTCGTTTCTGGTGAAACCGAAAATGGGGAGATATTTGCATCACAATTACGTCTGTGCTGTGCTGAACGATGTATTCGGGATTCAAAGCCGAGGCGGATGCGCGTGACGCCCTGGAATGCGACTTCTAAACGACCCATAACTAGACTTTGAACGACTTAGTATGCTTTGCGACAACTTTCTTCTACTCACTCATATCTTTCCTTCCTTCCTAAGAAGCAATAAAAACCTAAGCCTTCTTATGATTCTAACTTCCTGAAGTGGTTCAAATACAGTATCAGATTACATTTACCGTAATTTTTACAGCAACAAAAAGTTGAGAAGGTACCTTGAATCTCCTCCGTAATGCAGTAATTTGCAATGGAATCCGGAAGAGCTACGTTCGATTCTATGATTAAATTACAAAATCATTACAAGTATTTTAATTGGGATTATTTTTTAACTGAATTCAGTTTTGACTGCGTTAATGTTCAAAAATTCAAATTCAATAATCTTGAAATGTTCTAGTATTTTTCGTTTTGTCGCGAAATCAAACTGAAGGTTTTTCCTGATGAGATTTTAATTTTTGTGCATTTGAATTATTTTTCTTTGTCGGTTTTTTAATTGAATTGAGTCTCGTCTGAATTTATTTTCAAGTATGTAAATTTTAGTATCTTAAGTTGTTTGATTTTTTCTTTCAGATTTGTTCTGTCGAAATTTTAATTTGTCTGTAGTCGGATCATTTCCTCAGCCGGTATTCATTAAGTGAATTGAGTCTAGTCTGAATTAATGCCTGTATTTAAAAAATTAAATCGATCGAACTGTACTGTACTTATCTACGAGGTGTTTTGTTGATTTTATTCTCGTCGCAAAAATGAAACGGAAGATTTGCGCTGAAAATAAAAATGTTGATTTTTCTGTATTCTTTGATTTTGTTTTCAGTCGGTTGGACAGAAGCACTCTGCGTCGTCGAACAGAAGGCTCGCAATACGAAATGCTGCGTCCAGGTTTCACACGCTTGAATTTCGCCTACTTTCTGGACGACGATCAAGCCAAATTTGTAATTGACGCTGTGATCATGGCCGCTGAAAATGCGTGGAAACTATTGCCGTATTACAAGTTCAATCCGGAAACTGGAGAGTGGCGTCATAACACCGAATCGGTATGCAGTTGTTATCCTTGCCAAATTGAACCTCTTCGAATTGGCAAATTTCCCATGAATCCCTGGCCGATTTTTTGAGACGATTTATTTTTGATCTCGCTAACCCCAATCGTTTCGGGTCAGATCTTCTTTATTCTTATTTTTTTCGCCTTATTGTGTAATTAATTTTGAGCAAAATTGTATAACACTTTTTCCGGGGAACCAAGAAGACAAATGCAACTCATTTTCTTCATTTTTTTTAAGGATTAATAGGCAACTTCCTGAAGATGAAAATTTTGGGTTTTTGTAATTCGACCAGAAAATCATCTTCCTTGAATAATTAGCAAAAATTAAGTCTAATTCCTTTAACTAAAAACTCTCCGAGTAGAATTTTAGCACAGTCCTTTCGAATTTGACACAGAGAGGTTCAACTGTACTTCCTCAAAAAATTACGTCAATTTGACGCAAAAAAATCTTGAATCACTCGCAACTTTCGAGTAGGCAATTATGAAATTTATGTGTGTCCAAGAAAGATGGTATTATGCGAAACAATTTTTAAAAATCCCTGACATTATCTTAACTGAGCACCTGAAAGTTTAATTCGAAATTTGTGAATCCAGATGAATTCTTCGTGAATTTGATTGAAAGGCTGAAGTTTCGTCGTAATCATTTTTCACGGTCGATCGAAAAGTTTTCATTTCTGAAAACTGGTGAGATCGAATCTTTTGAACCTTTGTTGTCATTTGGATACTTTTATGTCCGGATTTTTCCCCCGTTAATCCAGTCTAATCCCACATCATTTGTGACACGGATTTCATAATTACTGCCCATGCTCATAGCTCTGGAATTATTCACGGGTCTGTTGGTTCATTGGTTGGGAATTGCCTTGTTATCAGACTTCAATTGATATTCAATAAATATGAAGTTCTCCAGATGTTTCTTTAGTCTTTATACAGTTAAACTCCGTTAAGACGCTCCCCAATAAAGCGCCACCCTCGGCAACCGCCAACATTTTGAATGAAACAAATCTCCTCAATACTAAATGCCATAGAAAACCTTGATAAGACGCCAACCGCCATCCACCAGCATTAGTGATGGAACAAAAGTGCTGTTTTGTATTAGGTTTGTCTTTGTTACAAAGCCAACATTGGGGTAGAATTATATTTTCTGTTCAGGATCTTGTATTGGTTAGGAGAAAACAAAAGGACAATCTTCATTTTTCAAAAACTTTGAACAATATATAGACCTAATTTAAAAATTTGAATAAATTGATAGAAAAAATAATTTTCTGAAGCAGTAATGCATAAATCACAGCAATACTTTTTGTAAAATTACTTAAGTTTCTGGAAAACTTGTATTTCTATTACTTTTGAAGGAAAATCAAGTATTTTTGATCAAATGATTTAAAATGAAATACTGTATTCAAGAAACCGCCAGAATTTCTCTGGATAAATGGTGGCGTCTTATACTTCCATACTTTACCAATGTATCATATTTTCAATTCAGGTCTGATAACTTTTAAGGTTGAGGAGATTTCTTATTCTTATTGCCAGGTTGATCAATGAAGACTCCTCAAGATTCTTATGAAAGAATTTATTTCTTGTATTTGACAAGATATGTGCAACGATGTAACTTCAACAGTGAGTATCAGGAAATCAATGAGCATGAGTGTAGGGAGAGGCAGATGCCTTTAAAGACTTTGTGGTCCAAGATTGGGCAAGCCTGGTCAGACCCAGATCTGACCTTGTTTCAGAGCAAGTTGCATAACTCAGCAATGCATGACTTGGCACTATGCTGCACATCATCAGGAATGTGAAAGTTAGGAAACCGTCAACTGCCTTGTGCATTGTCTGCTAGCAAGAAGGAATTACAGAAAGTATTTGATGACAGCCCCCAAGTGGGGAAAATGGTGCACACTTGGGATATGTATGTACAGTATTTCCACACAGTGACCCTGCTGTGCACCTGAGGTGTACCAAAGTTCTTCTTCCTCACATGCATATCCCTAATGTGCACCAATTGTGTGTTCACACCAGGATTACTCAGGGTCACATTTGTAACAAAGAAGTTACACCAAGGTTACAGTTGGTGCATTTGTGTTCTCCCTGGAAAAGGGGAAACTAGTATCTAACCGAAACGCAGAAGAAGGGCTTCATTCCCCGCCACAATCCTTTGAGGCGTGTCTAGAAGAAGCTCGCAAGATTTTTGCCAATGCCTCTGCGGATTGTGCGAAAGTCAGTTTACCCGATCAAGCCGTGATGTTTCGAGACGTGGATCGATTGCGATGGTTCATGTTGCCTTCGGAAGCTCTGGAGATTTTGCAACGAGGCTCTCGATGCGAAATCGCCAACGACGTTCCTTTTGTTCCGAAATCCTACGAATCGTACACACCCAGGAATTGGGTGGACTTTGTGCAGGAAATACCTTCAGTCACGACTGCGAATATCGTCCAGAAAGCTATGAAAACTGCGAAAGCTGAATTGGATCCGAAATCAAAGAGTCGGGAAAATTTTGAGGACCTGGGAAGAGTGTCGAACAATTTTGACAACAGTCCGACAACGAGAAACTCTTTGGTGACGGATAATCGACGGAAATCTTCGGAAAAAATCGTTGATCGTCAGCCGATTTCGAAATTGATTTCGACGATGTCTCTGATGGACGTCACGAGAGAAGAATTCAATGACGGAGTTCAAGTGACTAGTTCTTCTGTTCTTGAGTTGAACCCGGATGATGGGGAAAATAATCAGGAAGAATCGTCTTTGCTGAAATTCGAGCGACGTGATAGTAAAAGAATAGCTTTGGTTTCAAAGTCTGTGATTTCGAGGGGTTGGCACACCCCGCCAAAAA